TAACGAAACTTACTTCCAAGCATAGCACAGAACTTTGCCCAGGGGAAAAAAATGTGTTTAGAGTTCTTAAAGCAGACAAAAAATTTCTGTCAGACTGACTGATATGCACAGCAATTGCTTGATGAACAGAGAAACCTGCCTTGGCATGACACTGATGTGTTTTTCTTATGTAACTTGAACCATGGGGTGAAGAATGCACACCAAAATACCACTAAGCACACACCATTATAACAATTTTATTTTTTATAAAATACACATGAAAATACACCATGAAGTTCTACATGAGGGCTGCAGCCTCCTCCTGTTTTAGAAAGGGACACTCTTACCCTTCTTACACTGTGCATGAATAACATTTCAGGCAGAATGAGTACACAAGTCCTAATGCAACTTGACACCGACTTGAAATTTTAAAGCTCCTTCTTTATGATGCAAAAATTAATGAGGACTTAATCAGAAACCTCTGAGAATATGGGGCACAACTGTAAAGCTACAAATGAGAGATATTCACTAACATGTTACTGAGAAGAAAATCTGCTGGATACTTTGCAAGCATCAGGGCTTTTTTTTTTTCTTTATTTGTGAACAACTAATCAGGTAAATCTGTGCCCCTGAAGGCAGAAACGTCCTGAAGAGCAATGAAAATGTCCTTACATGAGCATGCAGTTAACAAGAAATTGTGTTTTACATTTAAATATAATTTAATTAAAAAACAAGTCCCCTTTTTTAGTCAGAGGCAATAGCAGAATGACTCGTAGACCTTTCAGTGAAGAGTGACTAGCACCCAGTCAGTAGGAATTTCTGTCTTTGTCAACATTAATGATATTACATTGACTATTTCAAATTATTAGGAAGTTAAATAATGTTTTATTATAAAAAAAAAATTAAAATCTGAAATATTGTTAAGAAAAATCATTAATTTGGCTGCAGGTAGTTTGCTGCCTGTGGGTCTTGAAGAGATGGGATGTAGATTGAGGACAGTCTCACCAGAGGGGCTGTGTTCTCTGTGTGACAGAACTTGAGCATTTCAGTTCTGCAGTGCTAACAATGTAACTCACCTTTCCTGAGGTGAACAGACTGCACAGGGCTTTTAGATATAATTACTGCACAAAGTGGGAACTTCAAATAAAGATATAATCCCTGTTGATAAAGTGATTCATAACACTGTAAGCGAGTAGATGGCAAGCCTAATTAGTCTGTTCCACAATGATCACTTCCTGTGTTTGCTGTTGCTTCATGGGTCACTGTCTGGGAGACAAAAGCAGCTGTGACCACACTGTGATCCAGAACCTCCTAAGCCATGCTCAGCTCTGATCTGTGACCCACTGCTGTTCCATGAAGCTTGTCATTGTCAGGCACATGGAGCACCAAATTAACACTTGATACTGTTAAAGCTGGCTCCCCCAAAAAAGGCACTATATAGGGTCATCCAGCTGATGTCTGCTTGCCACAACATCAACACACAACTTCCCTCTTGGTTCAAATGTGATCCTGGCTGATCACCCAGAAACACTGCTTGCTTGTGCTCCTTGTTCAGGGTGTGACAGCAGAGGCTGGCAAAATGAGTATATACAGTTTAAAAAGGAAAATATGGGATTGCAGTGCTCGTTTGGAAGCAGTGGGAATGGGAAGTCAGGAAAAATAGTCTCAGGATCCTGCCCTGGGAAAACTGAGGTTGTGCCCATGCTCTTCCATGTAGCTCCAAGATGGAATTATGTCTCTGTACCTGTCACACCATAAACCCCACTCACAAAAAGCACAATATAATGCAGATGTAGATTAAACATGCTGTTTTACAACTATTTTATTTTTTATAAACTGCTTCATTAACTTCATCCATTTTAACAGGAAAGTTAAATAAGAGGGTAAATTAAAGGAAAGAAAAAAATCCAAACAGTCCCTATTCTTGCTTTGATTTTTAAAAGGATTTTCTTTTACACATTTTTAATCTGCTGTAATATATTATGATGTATTACTCTTTCTATGGATCACTGGTGGATAATCTTGTACTACTGCTGATTTACATCGCTGCAAGCCATGCCAGTGTTTGTGTGACAATGTAAGGCAGAAGTCATTCAACTCACTTTCAGCTGGTGGAATTAAGAAAATTCATGCATATCCCTACTGTTCAGACCTTGAGAACTATTAATTGCCTTAAGATTAAGCTTAGGAGCAGAGCAGAACACTTAATCTTCTAACAGGTCTAAATCTTATTTACCATTCAGCTACAAGCTCTTTATTAAAAAAAAAAATCTTCAGCAAGAGAAGATTTTTATTGTAGAGATTTAACCCTTAACCAGATTCCTGGTTGGATTAAATCTGATCTAATAAGCTAATTGTTAAACAGCTGATGATGTGTTTCAAATCTCTGTGGTCAATTGCTTATGTAGTGCTTGTACCATGTGCACCCAGGTTTGTGGTGCTGTATAAAGGTGACCTCCACATGAATCCCCTTTATGTGAGTGCCATATTCCCATTCACACTGCTTTTGTGAGATGCTTTTAAACCCTAGCAGCAGGACACCCTTGAACATAACTGTGCAGGGCACCCTTTCTCTTGTACTTAGCATAGACATGGTATAATTGAATAAAGTGCTTCCCCATACCATTAGTGTCCATTGCAAACTGATTCTTCCTGCTTTGGATATTAAGGGTATTTTCTCTTTTTAACACTCATGTTAGGAAGACCTGGTCTGGCATTTGATAGTTTTCTGTGACAAAATACAAGATAGCCAAGGTGGAGCTATCAGTGATGTTTTGGGTTCATAGGAATTGAAACAACCTCCAGTGCATTCTTATAGAACATCTCTGCACCAAGATCTGTAGTGTACATGTGGCAATAGGTCCCCTCCTGCAGAGTTTGCTAAATAATCATGGAACACATTGCATCTTCCCTGGCTGCTGTCCTCTTCAAGATAGAGGTGTTCTTCTATGTAATTATGTTGTAAAATAACCCTAAGATGCCGAGATTGAAGGAAAATAAGAGCTTTACCAAACACAAAGAGCAAGAGAAGTTGGCCTCATGCCTGTTGACAGGTCACTGACTTTCAGTGCTGGCTTTGGCTACCTCTGTATCTTGTCAGCAGCCAGAGCTGTGACACTGCTGCTCTCCCCACCAGTGCCAGTGTTTGAATTCACACAGAAATTCAGATAATAGCTGCAAGGGATCGATCCTTAGTTCCAGGTGACTCAACTCCCACACCTGTGATCTGAGCAGGTTGAGTGTGAGCAGGAGCAAACCTGCTACATCCCATTGGCCCCAGGTACAGCCTTTCTGCCCTGGAGCTGATTCAGCTTGTAGAATACACAGTGACAAATTACTAAATGTCCCCTGTTTTTAAGAAGCATTCAAAATCAAATGGGAGCAGGTGAGACCATTGCACTCTGAAAGTGACACTTCCTTTTCTTCTCTGAACACTGATAATAGCAACTGACTTGAGTGTGATAGTAACCATCTCCTCTGGAAGCATTTTCCATTCATCTTGCTGTAATAACTGGAGGAAGCAGTTTTTTTTTGGAGTATGTAGAAACCAAATGCAATTATTGCTTCCTTCCTAACACTGACCCAGCAGCCTAGAATTGGTCCCTGAAGAATCACAGGCAGGTTGAAAGCATCAGCTGAACACACCATCCCCACAAGGGCTCACTGGGATAAGGAGCACCAGGGAGATGCTGTCCCCATGGACACGGCTCACAGGGACACGGAGCACCAGGAGGATCCATCCCCATGGACACGGCTCACAGGGACACGGAGCACCAGGAGGATCCATCCCCATGGGCACGGCTCACAGGGACACGGAGCACCAGGAGGATCCATCCCCATGGACACGGCTCACAGGGACATGGAGCACCAGGAGGATCCATCCCCATGGACACGGCTCACAGGGACACGGAGCACCAGGGAGATCTCATCCCCATGGGCACGGCTCACAGGGACACGGAGCACCAGGGAGGATCTCATCCCCATGGACACGGCTCACAGGGACACGGAGCACCAGGGAGATCTCATCCCCATGGACACGGCTCACAGGGACACGGAGCACCAGGAGGATCCATCCCCATGGGCACGGCTCACAGGGACACGGAGCACGAAGCACTGGCAGCAGCGACGCGTGTTTGGGGCAGCTCGCTGCCGTTTCGATTTCTATTTCAAAACTGCTGATAAGAGATGACAAAGAACGTGTTCTCCTGTCTCTGGTTCCCCCCTCCACAGCTGGAGGTTCCAGGGAGCCTGTCCAGCTCGCAGGCAGCTCTGCCGAGGCTTTCGGGATCCCTGAGCTGCCTGTGCCCCCGCTCGGGTGTGGGGAGGAGCGGGGGAAGCGAGGCCGGGAAGCGGCTCTGGCGGAGCAGGGAGCGGGCATGGCTCGCCGGCCGCCGCCGGAGGGCAGCCTGGTGTATCCAAACCCCAAGAACTCCTTGGTTTAAAAATCAGCCCAGTTTCCAGAGATGAACGGCTTCACGGGAAACTCTTCCATGAAAATAGTTGTTCGGAACATTTAGACCCGCCAGTGGTTTTGCAACCAAACCAAACACGCGGCCCGCACGGGCACATTAACAGGTGCCCATAGAGCCAGCGAGCGGCTCACAGGTATCAGTCCAGGGAAAATGCAAATCTTTATTCCTTCCGTTTTCCACAGAGGAGCAGGGAATTGCGGGTGAGAGGAAAGATATTGTCTTTACAAACAATTTCATGGGTGAAGGTGAGGGTGTTAACATCTTTAAAACAGGTCATAGCGCCTCTACTGACTTTGGGCAACAGGTTTACAGAGCCCAGACAGCTTGGCTCCTGGAACAGGCATGGGTCTGTCTGCACAAGCCTCAGCTTCTGAACTTTGGGGTAAAACGGTAGGTTCAAGGATGGAATATGTGGAAAGAGGTTCAGGAAGGCGGTACCTTCCCTGCACCTCAGCCAACTTGGAAAGGAAGGGGGCAACATGTGGCCCAGAGTTTGGGGTAAAAGGGAGGCTGTGCCCTCCGAAAGCCAGAGAGAAAAGTCCACAGGTGTGTGCGCCAGTGGAGTCTCTCCCTTTATTTGAATAAAGTTGCAGGACTCTTCTGTCTCCACTTTGGACATAAATCTCTGGCGTTTGTGGATTTTCCTGGCACGAGCAGGGCTCTGTTACTGCGCTGTCTGCAGGAACAGGATCTGCAGACAGACCGCTGCGTTCCCCAGGTGCGCACCAGTGAGGACAGGAGCGCTGCCACTCAAAGGCTGTGATGGAAAATCAGGTGTAATGCTAAAGCTGAAAGGAAAAGAGAGAAAGGAAAATTCACCACTTCCCAGTGTTTGGCATTACACGTTTTGCTGTAATGGCAAATACATTAACCCTAAATTACATGGAAATGTCAAAGCAAATGCCCCATGAAAGCATCTAAAAGCATGTTTATTCCCTGACACTCTACTGCCTTTGAACTGTTATCCTACGTCTGTGTAGCTATAATTTATAGATGTAAGACAGAATTTCACAAAATAAGCAGAGGAAGGTAAAAGAACTCTTCAGAGGAGCAAACATCTATTTTAAGAAAAAATTGCTACCTTGTAGAAGGGAAAGCTCTTATTTAGATTTTGGTGTTTGAAGCATTTCTTGGTCTGACCACTACCAGAGGAACAAAAAGACAGTTTCTTGAGTCTCAGGCTTTGCAATCAGTCAGTGGTGCCACCTTCATGTGTGGCTTTCAGAATTTCCCTGGTGTGGAGGATGCTGCTGCAGGTCAGAGATGGTACAGGTGCCACTTCTGCAGCTCATGCTCTACCACAGAACTGAGAGAGGAGAGAAATCTTTTTGTACTACATGAAAACAGCAGCTGATCAAATCATCCACCTGTGAATTGCTTTAGGAGAAAACTAATCATGTGGTGGCTCCACTGAAAACAGCAAAGGAAGTTGGCTTCATTACCATTCAGGAACCTGTAAAAGAATGACCTATGAAAATGCTTTATGATATTTTTTTTGTCTGATCCTTACTGTACGAATAAGACTTTGTAGAGAATTCAGCTTTAAAAAGTAGCTACCAAATATGCATGCTTTCAAGGTGTCTGTAATTGGAAGACTAAAATAAAAACCTACAATGTATTCAAGGATACAATATTCAACAGCCTATCCCTTAATATCTTTTGTGCAAATTTAGATCTGGATTACGTTTAGGAGCAGAGCAGTAAGATTTGAGGATGAACATAAAGGCTGTGGGTTAACATGGATTCTAACACGGTCCTCTCACAAGACTTTGGTCATAAATTTTACAAGCCTTGTGAAGCCTAGGGTGTGTAGAAGAAAGATACACTTCTATTTATACTGGAAAATATCCTTTTGTGTTTGGGATCCAACCTCAAACTTCTATCCCAGGTATCAATTTGCATGCAAAATCCCTTAACTTTAGTTGTTTAGTTTCCTAAGTTCTTCTATAATTTATCAGTAGCCATCTAGACTATAACACCTCATACATTTTCCATGACATCTAAAAAGCTAAATTTCCCAGTAGTTTAAATTATTTTATGTTCCAAGCACAGGTAAAAGATTTTTTCCTGTTGTCTGTCATTAGCTTCCATACAAAGCCTTGTTAACTAGATGGAGTATGTAAGTAAATTTTGTGATTGCTTCCTATGCTGCAAGTCTTTTTGTGGTTGCAGGTATTCTGTGGAGTTTAAATAAAAAGACTTAGTAATAAGATGTTCAGTAACAAGATGCATTAAAAAATTTCAGTATCAAAATAGTTCAGTGTCACTACCAGATGAACAGTAACTTCCCATGCTCACAGCTGCAGGGACTTGGCAAAGGAATGACACTTCTGATATTCTACAAGCCAACCCAAAAGCCAGATGGAAAGGCAGGAGGAGGTCTGGAAACTCCTGGATGACAAACTGTCATGTCACAAACACCCTTGCAATTCATTTTCAAACTGAAAGGCTGGACATGGCTAAGCAGCATCAAGAGCTACAGTCTCAAACTGGGATTGTCCCAAGTGATGCCTTGTAGCCACAGTACTTCCTAGCTGCAGCCATAGAAGTCAAGGTGATGCTTGGAGCTAAACTCGTGGAAGCAAAGTCCAAGTGGCATCTGAAAATATTCACTCTAATCATAGAATCTGGATGTAACACAAAATTGCATAATTAATCTTGGATAAAGGCAAAGCTATATAAATTGCAGCATTAGCAGGTCTTTTGATTAACAGAACAAGAGGTTCTCTCTGAGACTGCAGAGCAAGGACCTCTCCTTGTCACCTGTTCCTCTCTGATGATTTTGGCTAATTCTTATTGGGCCTATCCAGTCTGATGATTATTTCCAGTTCTTATTTTCTGTAGAAGGGGTAGAGATTTGATTGCTGAATTTAGCTGGAAGATACAGATGGCTTTAGCTTAGGAGTCTTCCTTGAGAAGCCTTTGGAGAAAGGCATACTCTGGACAGGGGGTTCCTACATGCACAATATGGGATTATGACACACCACAAAGCCTGGGAGCTGCTGGGGTGTGTCACCCTTAGTGCTGCCCCTGTGTGACACTTCTCCCTCCTGTCTCTCCTACTTCCATTCTGTTGCTGCTGCTGTGCCCAAGAGGCCACAGAAACAAATCCACAGGGAGCCCCATCAGGCTCCCCCTTGCTGGACTGGAGAGGTCTGCATGTGTGGATGTTGGGATTTGGGAAGCTGGGAGGACGACACAAGCTGTGCTCCTCCCCAGCCTCTTCAGGTGAGTATTTGGCATCTGTACTCAGGAAAGAGAATTTATGTCTGGGTGAATAAAAATGTGAAGATCTGCCACACAGTCAGCATTTGTGGGATTCTGGCCTCCTGAGTGTCTCTCTGACCCCTTGGACTGGGATATTCCTTTGTAGCCATCAAACAGACTTGGGCTGGGATGAAGAGAGAAATCAAGCAGCCTCTGCTTTTGCTTGCAGGCAGTGCTGGGGTTGGCTTAATACACTCTGCTTAGCAAGAGAGACTTACTGCTAAGTTTAAATTCAGAAAACATACCTACCTGTATATCCTTTCTCCTCCCAGTGGAGCTGAAAAAACAGCAAAAGACCAACTGAAGTAAAGTTTAATTTGACAAAAATAGGGAAAATAGCTATTATTTATTCATTAGCTTAAGCAGTGAATAACAGCACAGCACTAAAAGTATGAATGACAGGAATAACACAGTGATTCCCACATAGAGCCACAAAATCTCGATGTAGGCAGAAAGACTAGTTTGATGTGACACTGATGTAGGCAAGTAATTCCAAACAGTTGGTGTGTATTATCTTAAATGCCATTAAAGTAATCAGTTGTGAAGGTACTACAGACTTAAATTTTCAAATATCCCTGGATGACTTGAATATAATGCTATGGATCTGAAGTGAAATCTTCCTTTAATGGATTTAAATCCATTGCATGATATTTGAAGACTTGAAAAAGAATAATTTTCAGGATTTTGACAGACATAATGTGAGTTCTTTTAGGCTTAGAGGTAAGTATTAATAATACAGCTGAATGAACGTCTTCTTTTTACTTTTCTGTGATTTATGTATAAAAGACAAATTTCACAATAAGTTTGTGTCTTCAGCCTGTATCTTCTATTTCCTAAGTAAAAAACATAAGTGTTTCTCTAAAGATCTTTTCAGTTTCTTTTAAAATGTCACATATGCCAGTCCAGAATTATTTGACTGTAAATACAGGTTCTTAATGTCTAAAGAGGAAATCTAAAGAAGGAGATTAACTAAAAAAAATTCCTTTTTAAAAAGTGTGGGTTACTTTCGAATGTGAGTTATTTCAAATGTATCAGTTGAACTGTTTCAATAAGGGAGTGATTTTTGGATGCCTTGGGTTTGCACAGCATTACAATGTGTATCGTTCTCCCCATGCTTTGTTATGCACTGCAGACTCAGTGAGACATATCCTTACTGCAAGACCTCTGTACAGATGTGTTTTAAGACCTGCATATAATCTCATTAAAAATATTGGTTTTGATATTAAAAAAATGCTCTTTTCCTGATTCTCACAGCCCCAAGGAGACAAGCCTTCACTGACAGGCTTTATTAAATCCAGAGTTTTCCTATTTTTAGAATGGTACAACTGAAGAGATACATTCTTGTATGTGTTATTTTGAGATTCACTAATTCCTTCAGTCTGGGAATCCTGGTATTAATGTACAGCAAACATCCATACATATTGCACAATGGTTTTACAATGGGCTTCACACATGAAGTAGAAAACGAACACACTGGGAATTACCTCCTGGGATTTCTTCAGAGAAAAGGCATTAATAACCAACAGAGGGTATTCCAGATGTAGCTGGCAATCTTTCCTGCCTTGCTCTTTAAATTAATCATGATATGAGTAAAGCCTAATTTCTGATGTGCCTTTGGTGAGTTAGTTGTGAAACATGCACAAAAGAAAGCAGTCCATGCTGCACCATTCATTAGGCTTCTTTAATGGTTATTTATGTGTATGTCAGAATTGTGTGGTGTTGGTGAGAATGGAATACATGAACAGCTGTAAAGGCAAAACAGTATTTTGGAAGTTGTGCTGTTCGTTCCTGCTCATTACCCTCAGGTATAGATATTGTCTGGATGCCCATTTTGAGGACTTGACATAAAAAATTGCAAGTGACAATTTTCTTTTGGCAATGCCTTGATATTATTTTCTTCATTTTAATTTAAAGAAGGTTCTTGATTTTGTCACATTTCCTTCTTGAAGTATTGGTATTTCCTTACATGATTAGTCAAAGATTTGATATAATTATTTAAGTTCAAATTGTGCTGTGTTTTGTTTAATCTCCTTCTATATCTGTGGAGCTCAGAAGGTCCAGACATCGTGAAAACATTTATCTAAGTCTTAATCTTTTTATTTGATCAACAATGCTTCATATGAAAGCAGCTCAAGGACTTTCAAGAACAAAAAAATCATAATAGACTATTTCAACAGTCAAATTGCAAAAGATCTGATTTTGATGTTGTGATTCTTTGGAAATCAAAATACTTAGATGTAGGAATTTACTATTTTGTATTCCTGTTTAATTATTCAGCCACATTGATATGATTTAAAAAATATGGTGCAGAAAGGTTTTGAGATTTCACTAGTGAAGCAGTTAACCTGACATGCACTGAGCAAGCCTGGAGCTTAGCAGGAATGCCAGTCCAGAAATGTGGAAAACAAATAAAGGATGTTTGAAGTGGGGAGCCACAGGTCTTCAAGCACTTAAAGAACTGTATGCAGAAATTTGTTGCTCAACTATCCTTGTGCCTGATCACAGATATATTTAAGTTGTCACTGATTTTTTCATTCAAAAGATGAAACTTGGAGTTCCAGTTTTGGAGTAAACATGTTCCTTTTGTGATTTTTTTTCCTCAAGAAAAGTTGTTTGTAATATTGTGTTGCAGAGGGCTATCAGTATCGATTTACAATTGCATTAATTCATTTGTGACCAAAACAAATTATTGTAGCATATATGGATGACCATTAGAAATATTCCCTGTCACCAAAAAGGAAATAACGAGATGAATTGCTAATACTTGAGCAAGATCCGAGACAGTTTTAGGGAAATTGAGAAGGTCTCGGAAGTCATTAATCAGAAAAATATCAATAATGCTTTAATACCAAAAAAACCAGAATATTCTCAAAAATACACAGTATTTTATATACACTAGCAATACTTAACTTTTGTTCCTAAATTCCACTCAGGCTGAGCTTCAAAAAATGGGATAGGTCAAAAATACTAAATACTATGAAAACAAATTTAGTATCCTACTAGTTTTGGCTTCTTATTCCTAAAGTGTGCATGGGAGAAAACCAAGAGATCAGTGGCTTAGAAAAGCTGTTTCCAAAAGAACCTTAAGCTTGCAAGAGTTAAGAAGAGACTCAGTGTCACATACTGAGAAAATCAAACTCAGCAGTGCCTGTAAAAGTCAACTCATGAACTGTGCCATGAAATGTCCATGACCATCAATAAGGAGACTTCAGGTTATCTGCACGTGCATGGAGAGAGAAGGACAAAGTGGTGAAGTTGTCTTTCATATCCTCTCTAGGTAGCAGTGATAAAGCCATGTCAAATTTGTAACTTCAAGCAAAGACTTTGATAATTCTGAATTATTGATGATTGAGAGTTTTAGACTAGTGTTTATACAAGTGTTAAGGTGTAAAATTCATGTGGTTTTGTACTGATGGAGGGGATGTATCAAATGCATGCAAACACACAAGCTTAAATAGGTAAATTACTGCATTCCACCACTGCAGTTGCAATTACAGGATCTTACACCTACATATTGCTTTCCAGGAATGAAGAAATGTCCAAATATGAATAAACCTCCTTCTATGCAAGGGCATTACTCTCATACTGTGCTCCTTTCCAGACTGATATAGATTGGTATATGAAATGCACAGGCATGTTCAGTGAGAGAGTGACAGAAAAATTCCTAATATTTTTGCATCTGAAATGGATGAATTCTCTTGCTCTGTTTTCCTCCACAAAATATTCTGACATCAAGTCTGGATAGCATAGCAGCAAAAATGCCATTATCATGTTGATTGAGGTAAAGGGCAGAAGTGTTGGTCGTGGCAATGTAGAAGAGAAGTGAGATTTCTTACAGCAAAATAAAGCTTAAATCGATTTAAATAAAAATCTCAGTACTATCCAGGGGGTAGGTTCTCTCACAAAATCTGGGAACTGATAGGAAAGATCAGCATAGAGGGGAAAAAAATGTGATGGGAGAGAGAATAAATCAGCAGAAAAGAGAAAACTGCCCTGGAAAAAAAATCCAAGTAGAGCAGAGGAGAAACATGAAAAGCAATTACACTCCTTTGTTTCAGACTTAGCAAAGCTGCAGTGTGGATTGCAGCTTGAAGTTAAAAAACCCCTCAACCTCAAGTTGCTTGGGTCAGAAACTACCTGAGCACAGCTTCAACCCTCTCTTGCCTACATGTATCATTGGTTTTATCTGGACTGCTACAGCCTTTTGTTTTCTGGCCTTTCAGGACCCTTTATGGTCCATACCAAAGAGCACCATTGTGTATTTTTCTTTCTTACACCCTACTTGTCTCTGCTTTGCACTGGCTCTGATAATTCCTTCAGCATGTGCTCTGCATGGCTCCAGATCTCCCTGTCAAGTTTATTTTGTATGATCCTGGTCTCTACATTAACCTTTCTCTTTTCTTTGCTTTTTCTTGTGTTCTCTTGGCATCTATTTTCCATAAAATGCATTTGTAGTGTCCTGCCCTGCTTTTAACACAATCCTTGTGCTGGACTTCATGTGACTTTCCTTCAGTCCACTGGGTTTTTTTGGAGACTCTTGACAAAGCACTTTACCTCCCTTTACTTCAAATTTCACAGCTGTGTTCTGGTGATATTATTGTTGATTTCCTTTGTAAAATGTTTTCAAATCTACCAGTGAAGCTCTGCATAACCAGTGCATATCATTCCTGTTGGAATCAATAAGCACTAAGGTGAGCAGTGGGTATCTCTTTAATGTAAGATCCTGTTTGATCTTCCCCTGTCCAGCTGAGACAAAGAATGTGCATGCTGTGTATCAAGTGCAGGCTGCAGCCTGAGCTCCAGCTCAAATTTATTTATAATACACAGTGTGTATCTGATTCCAAGGTTATATCATTGGCTTGAAAACCCAGGATCCTGTCTTAAGGAGGGATTGTGAACTGCATTTGTGGTCCCTTTCTGCCACACACACACACAAGAGAGAGCGAGGGCAGGTGTGTG